ATGCCTCCTTATTGACAATTAAGATTTCCAGCAAAGGCATACATTTGGTCTGCTACCTTAAGCTAAATAATAAATGACTTTTTATATGAAATAGGCAGTGAAACAAGTTGCTACTTTGGATATTTTATTCATACTACATTTTTATTAAGATCAGGGTAATAGTCCCAACGGTGGTTTGTTGTTGTTGTTGTTTGAGACGGAGTCTTGCTCTGTCACCCAGGCTTGCTGGAGTGCAGTGGCACAATCTCACCTCACTGCAACCTCCTCCACCTCCTGGGTTCAAGCAATTGTCCTTCCTCAGCCTCCCGAGTAGCTGGTATTACAGCTGCACACCACTACTCCCAGCTAATTTTTGCATTTTCAGTAGAGACGGGGTTTCTCCATGTTGGCCAGGTTGGTCTCAAACTCCTGACCTCAAGTGATCAGCCCGCCTCGGCCTCCCAAAGTGCTGGGATCACAGGTGTGAGCCACTGCGCCCAGTCCAACAGTTGCTTTTGATTGGCCTTTGATAATTCTTTACATTTGGTCCATTCTGAGGCAGTTACGCACACTGAGCATCTCTAGGAGCCTGGCATTGAGCCAGGTGCTAAACAGGAAATTATTTACACGTACAAATCAAGACAGTATCAAATATAATACATTTTAGTGCTGTAGTAATATCCATGTTCCCATTTTATTTACCTTTCATATTTTTCCTTTCCTTTTTTTTTTTTTTTTTTGAGACAGAGTCTCAATCTGTTGCCCAGGCTGGAGTGCAGTGGCACGATCTCGGCTACAATCTCCGCCTCCTGGGTTCAATCAATTCTCCTGCTTCAGCCTCCCAAGTAGCTGGGATTACAGGCATGAGCCACTATGCCTGGCTAATTTTTGTCTTTTTAGTAGAGATGGGTTTTACCACATTGACCAGGCTGGTCTCAAACCCCTGATCTCAGGTGAGCCGCCCACCTCGGCCTCCCAAAGTGTTGGGATTACAGGCATGAGCCACCATGCCTGGTCCCTATTATATTTTTCTGTTTGTATTTTATCTTAACCTTAACAGGTTTGAATCCTCACTGTCAGGTGTAATATCCTGTAACATTTTCTAGGCCCAAGTGTGGTTCTTGCCCTCAGTCAATGCTCACTAAACAGAGCAGATGCCGTTTTGCCTGGCAGAGCAGCCCACAAAAGCACAGTGCCCAGGATGACAGCATTCTTAGGTGCTCCGTGAAAATTTGTTGAATGCAATACTCTTCTGAAAAAAGTTCCAAAAAGACAACCAGAAAAAAGAAAGAAAAAAAAAATTTTTGAAAAATACAAGAACATATCCAAGAACTAAAAAATATGAATGATTATATTAAAGGCCTCAGGGCCTTATACAATGAATAAGAAATGAAAAGGCCCATCTCAAGCCTTATTGTCATGAAATTTCAAGTAACAAGAAATAATAAAACTATCTGAAAGCTCCTAGAAAGAAAAATTAGGCCATGTTCAAAGGACCAGAAATCTAAATGATATCCAGATTTCTCAACAGCAGCTCTGAATACTAGAGGACAGTGGAGCAGTAACTTCAGATTTTTGAATGATTTTTTTTTTTTTTTTTTGAGAAGGAGTCTCGCTCTGTTGCCCAGGCTGGAGTGCAGTGGCACGATCTCAGCTCACTGCAACCTCTGCCTCCTGGGTTCAAGCAATTCTTCTGCCTCAGCCTCCCGAGTAGCTGGGACTACAGGCATGGGCCACCACACCCAGCTTATTTTTTTTTTATTATTTTTAGTAGAGACGGTGTTTGACCATATTGGCCAGGCTGGTCTTGAACTCCCGACCTTGTGATTCGCCTGCCTCGGCCTCCCAAAGTACTGGGATTACAGGCAGGCATGAGCCACCATGTCCGGCCTTTTTTTTTTTTTTTTTTTTTTAAAAAGGTTTTTGCCTTGTCCCCCAGGCTTGAGTGCAATGGAGCGATCTCGGCTCACTGCAACCTCCGCCTCCCAGGTTCAAGCGATTCTCTCGCCTCAGCCTCCCCAGTAGCTGGGCCTACAAGCATGTGCCACTACACCCGGCTAATTTTTTTGTGTATTTTTAGTAGAGATGGGGTTTCACCATGTTGGCCAGGCTGGTCTCGAACTCCTGGCCTCAGGTGATCCACCCACCTTGCCCTCCCAAAGTGCTGGGATTACAGGCATGAGCCACCACACCCGGCCATTTTGAATGAAAACTACTTTCAACCTGCACTTCTAATCTCAGGTAAACTCTGTATCAAGTAAAAGAACAAAAACAAAAACCAAGTATATGATTAAGACATTTCCAGACATTCAAGTGCTTCAAAAATGTATCTCCCATGCTACTTTTCTTAGAGAACTAGTGGGGTGTGTGCGCTACCAAAATGATGGAATACACCCAGGATGAGAAAGACACGAACCCAATCGAGAGGAGAGGAAAGTAAGCCCAAAGACGAAGGAGCAGCAGGATCAGAGAGCAGCCTGCCCACACTTGTTCAGAGATAAAAGGCTCCAGGAGTTGCTGGGGGCTGGGGATCCCAGAGGGAATTAACTGCAAAAGGCACAGTAGGACTTTTCAGGGGAATGGCCATATCTTGATTTTGGTGAGGTTTCACTGTATACAATGACAACATGTACAGTGTTCAAAACTCTGTAAAATGAGTTGAGGTTTTTTTTGTTGTTTTTTTGTTTTGAGATAGTTTCGCTCTTGTTGCCCAGGCTGGAGTGCAATGGCGCAATCTCGGCTCACCACAAGATTGAACCTCCACCTCCGGGGTTCAAGCGATTCTCCTGCCTCAGCCTCCTGATTAGCTGGGATTACAGGCATGTACCACCACGCCCGGCTAATTTTGTATTTTTAGTAGAGACAGGGTTTCTCCATGTTGGTCAGGCTGGTCTTGAGCTGCCAACCTCAGGTGATCCACCTGCCTCAGCCTCCCAAAGTGCTGGGATTACAGGCGTGAGCCACCATGCTGGCCGAGTTGAGTTTTATTGTACGTAAACTGTTTTTCAATACAACTGATCTTTGTAATTTGCTGGAAGAACGCATGATCTAGGCAGGGAGTGGTGCATATGTCCTAAATCCTATAGTCAGAAAACAATAGACATACAAAACTAAAAGACGTGTAAGCACATTCTCTAATAATACAGAAGTAAGTACTAGAAATAACTCAAGGAGTTAAAAAGTGGAAACCTCTTGGAGGGTTGGGAATAGGACTTGGGAGCAGAGACAGCTGTTGTTCATAGTAAGCTTTGTGATGCTAGCTGACCTTTGAGCTACGTGTATGTTCTCACTTTGATAAATATCAATAGAATAGTTTTTGGATTTTGTTTATTTATTTTTGAGACAGAATCTGGCTCTGTCGCGCAGACTGGAATGCAGTGGCACAATCACGGCTCACTGCAGCCTCGACCTCCTGGGCTAAAGCAATCCTCCTGCTTCAGCCTCCCGAGTAGCTGGGACTATAAGTGCACACCACCATGCCCAGCTAATTTTAAAAATATTTTTTAGAGTCTTGCTATGTTACCCAGGCTGGTCTCAAACTCCTAGGCTCAAACGATTCTCACACCTCGGCCTCCCAAGGTGCTGGAATTACAGGCATGAGCAATCATGCCTGGCCAAGATTAGTTTTTGAAAATGAGAATAGGTTTGGAATAACAGGATACCTAGTCTGGTGGAGGCAAAATGTTTGCAATACCCAGAAAGCCTTGGACCAACAGGAGCTAAAGTTTCCTTCAGACAGTTACTGTTTCCTTAGCTCTTTCATTTCATTTTGGGTGAGAATAAAGAAATGTATTATAGCAATGAAAATAACAAATTACAGCTAACCTCTTATGGATACAGTGTTGACCAGAAAAGGCAAGATCATAAAAAAATGTACACTAACTAGATGATGGCTAGACTGGTGTGTTCTTACAACAATTGAGCTCTATGCTATGACCTGTGGACTCTTCTATATGCACATTATACTTCAATTAATTCTTTAAAGTATACCATATGATTCTATTTCTTAGGCTCCCCAAAAAGACCAAACCAAACTATAGTTTAGTAATACATACAAAGGTAGTAAAAATGTAAACAGCCAGTCTAGTGATCACCTTTGGGATACAGGGAGAGGGTTGTGATCAACAGTGGGTGGGACTGAAATCCACAATAAGGGGAACATCTGCAGTGCCAGTAGATCCTATTTCTTGGTCCAGATAGTGTTTACAAAAGTATTCACTTTACAATTCTGCTAAACTGAATATATAAGGTTTTTGTCGATTGATTGATTGATTGAGACTCTGTCATCCAGGCTGGAATACAGTGGCACAATCATGGCTCACTGATTTGATAAGCATCGACCTCCCTGACTCAAGTGATCCTCCCACCTACCAAGTAGCTGAGACTACAGGTATGCATGATGACACCCAGCTAATTTTTAATTTTTTGTAGAGACGGGGTCCCGCTATGTTGCCCAGGCTGGTCTTGAACTCCTGGGCTCAAGTGATCCACCCACCTTGGCCTCCCAAAGTGCTGGGTTACACGTGTGAACCACCATGCCTGGCCAATATAGAAGTTTTATATATAGTCTTGCCACTTAAACAAAGGAATTTAGAAGATTTGAACAAATCTAAATGTTTATCAATAGGGACTGTTTAATTATAATAGTCATGTAATGCATAATGCACTATTAAAAATGAAGCAGTTGTGATCCTATATGCTTATAAGAACCTAATGCTCAAATTGGGTCCTAAAACGACAAAAACCATGTTAGAAATGAATCTGATATGATACCACTTATGTCGTCTCTCTCTCATATATATATATAAAAACATATTTTATGTGTATGTATTTTATGTAATGTATTTCATATACATTACATATAATTATATATATGCAGAGAACATCTCTAATATCTGGAATAATAGACAAGAAACTTGTCAGTGCTACAGAGAGGAGACTAGAAATAGGAGACTTCTTTTTCACTTTTGAATTTTGTATCATGTGCATCTGTTACTATTCTAATAAAGGAGAAGGAATCATTTATTTTAAAAATACTTGTTTATTGCATGGTTCTCTCCAGATTTTGTGTCTAGGCTTACTTTTATTTATTATAAAGTACTTCAGCAAAGAAGAGAAACTGGCATTCAAACATGGCCAGCCAATCACTGCCAGGCTAATTGCCCAAGAGCTTCTCTAAGCAAATATTTCTCACCTATTACAAACCCCACATTCATATAGGTGCCAGAAATAATAAATGGGACAAAACAGAAGCCCCTGTGCAAGGGGAAGTCAGTGAGAGGCAAGGAGACCATGCACATCACTAGTATTTCTCTTCGTATGGCAATTGAACATTGCTGTTCTTTGTCTTTATGAATAATGGGGTTAGGTCAGGTTCCTGGTCATCACAAGTCTTAGAAATCATCTAGAAAACATGTATTTCACACACTAATCTCATAACTAGATAACATATTCAGTACTTCAGTGGTAGAATCTTCAGCTTTTCACACCTTAGGCAGTTCTTCTACCATCTACTTCTGTTTCTTCATTCTCAGTTCCCAGGAAGGCATAGATCAGGTCCTGCATAGGTGGGCATGTCAAATGTCTGCTCCGTTTCATTTGCAACAATGACAATGAAAATCCAGCATGCAATGTGGCTGAGGTGCTGGGAGCCCCAAACAATGTGGGGGAAAAAGCAGAGGGCATTTCACATCCCAGACGAGACAGGTTTCCATTCCTTACTGAGGGTGGAAGTACTAGAGTGGAGGAGAAGGAGCCAAAAAAATTACTTGTATGAAAAAAAAAGCCTTGTCAGCCAGGCGCAGTGGTTCATGCCTGTAATCCCAGCACTTTGGGATGCTGAGGTGGGCGGATCACTTGAGATCAGGAGTTCAAGAGCAGCCTGGCCAACATGGTGAAACCCTGTCTCTACTAAAAATAGAAAAATTAGCTGGGCGCAGTGGCAGGCACCATAACCCCAGTTACTCGGGAGGCTGAGGCAGGAGAATCACTCGAACCCGGGAGGCAGAGGTTGCAGTGAGCCGAGATTGCACCACTGAATTCCAGCCTGGGCAAAAGAGTGAGACTCTGTCTCAAAAAAAAAAAAGAAAAAAAGAAAGAAAGAAAGAAAAAGCAAAGGAAAAAAGCCTTGTCTACTGCTTATTGTGATTCTCATTTATCTATGGTTATGTTTTAAAAATTATTTCCTACGGAAATTCTTTCAGCCCTTCCCCATTTTTGAGGGGCGGAGGTGCACATAGTGAAAGATTCGGGTCATCTCAAAGGACACAGGTTCAGAAGCATCTCACTGTTGCAGTGATCCAAACCCAAGTATGTCATTTCTTCCTCAAAATCCCATTTGCTGCTCTTGCTTGGCAGTGAATACTGCTGATGAGGATGAGAGGCGTAGGTGAAGAGAAAGGGGTCTTCCTGAGGTGAATGGTATGCAGGGGACTGGACGTAGCTGTTAAAATCCACATGTACTTTCTCTTCATAAAGGTTCCCCCCTGGATTTGGCCATAATGGGGGACAGCCAGTTTTGGCTGCAGGTGGCTCCAGTGGAATCTGCTGGTAAAAGGGTTCTGAAGAGTTTTGGGAAGGAGAGAAGCTGCAAGGCCAGCTGGTCAGAGGAAAAGGATAATTGGAATAACAGTTGTCATTAAGATGATTTCTCCCCAAAGCAGCATTTTTACTCCACGTCTGCAGATCGCCGTGATCAGAGTAGACTCCGGAGGCAGAAGGAGGAAGCAGGTCTCCACTACTGTAGGTTCTGCTACTGGACAATTTACGCTTTTCATAGAGCTTCGTGGGGTCCACAGTGGAAGTCTGGTCAGTCAGATCTGTGATTCCTCCCAGACCATAACTCTTGGAGAAGGAAAAGCAATCATTTAGTGAGTTCTGCTGAGGCGTGTTAGCTATTAAATGTCCACTGTAACTACCAGGCAGTTGGACGCCTTCCTGGAAAGACCAAGTTAAAGGTAAACTCCCCTGACTTTGTGTTTCACCTGGAAGAGACTGGAAAGGAAAGTGAAATGTTCGTGTTAATAAGTTAAGCAAATCCAAACCACTACCATAGGCATCCATGAGTTACTCTGTACAAATAAGAGCTCCGTCAGATTTTCCTCATTCCTTACACATTAATACTTGACGCAGAAACACATGCAGCAGCTTGACCACAACCACGACACATTGAAAAAGGCAAAGGCTGCCTGTTTCCGTGGTAAAACTTACTAACCAGTAAGAGCCACATTTCCCTACATTCTGTGGAGACATGAGTGTGTTTAGGATGTCTCACACTCAAACACAAATCTGATACCCTAATTGCCCTTTTTTTTTTTTTTTTTTTTTTTTTGAGATGGAGTCTCGCTCTGTTGCCCAGCCAGGCTGGAGTGCAGTGGTGCGATCTCAGCTCACTGCAACCTCCACCTCCCGGGTTCAAGCGATTCTCATATCTCAGCCTCCCAATAGCAGGGATTACAGGCGCCTGCTACCACGCCCAGCTAATTTTTGTATTTTCGGTAGAGATGGGGTTTCACCATGTTGGCCAGGCTGGTCTCGAACTCCTGACCTCAAGTGAGCCGCCCGCCTTGGCCTCCCAAAGTGCTCGGATTACAGGCATAAGCCACAGCGCCTGGCCTCTAATTGCCTTTTTGAGAGACTTATAAGGAACTATTCACAAAATATCAAAGTATAACTTCAAAGATTTATATTATACTCAGCACAACTCTCAGGAGTCTCTCGCTCTCATCATTTCCTCCCTTGACTTTTCTGTTTCTTAGTGCTGGTTGGAGTGTGAGAGACCATGGTTGCTGTTGTTTTTTTCTTTTTCCTTTCCTCAAGAGATTTTTCTGTGAATTCATGGGAATTTTGTTGAACCATAAATCAGACCTCTAGAACATGAGTGGTACATTCATTTATTTTTCTAAATGGAAGAAGTATATTATTCTTTAGTTAATTATTTAAAAAAAGGATCTGGTTGAGAATTAAGTGATGCTCTTGTTTAGGTAAAAGTACTTGCTGTTAAGGGGATACTTTTAGGGGGTAGAGAAAAAGGGCTGTGACCAGGTAGATTGGATGAGAGACTGAAATGCCACTTGACTTGTCCCATGGCTGGGAGAAAGGATGAGGAAATAGCCATTTGGGTTTGGGGGGGCTTGCATTTCCCTACAACAGACCCACATTACAATTTTTGTTTAAATAAAGTACATTTAGAGCCTCTAGGGATGGACCAGCTCCATCTCTGTTCTCCCAAAAAGACATGTGCAACTTTGAACAGTAGAAAAAGTATGGGAACTACTATCAATATTAAACAGACAAATGCAAGAAAACCTATGCACTGCTGCCCATAAAGCAGTGGACTTCACATCACAGTTTGTCTGTGGGAAAGAGCCTCCACTCCACTATTGCCACCCTAGGACAGCCATCATTTTCAGAAACTGCTTGCTTATTTCATCTTGATAGAATATGCTAAGAAAACAATCTGTTTGGGGATGTATGGAAATTCAGGAGGGCGGGGAGGGGGCGGGCGGTGAAATGCATGAGGTTACTATTTTGTGGAGATCGTTTCAATTGTTTTTGGTTCTTGTCAAATGTAAGTTAAGTGCTAATTCAAGTTTCTCTTTGTAATTGTAGTAGGGAAGATGATTCCCCAACTACATGGACTTTATGGTTCAGAGCATGCTACAAAGATGGTAGAAAGTAAGAGTAAAACCTCAGATTTAATTTCTTTGGCACATGTTTGTTTGCAGATGAGCCTGATAATCCATGATTTCTGGCTTTTCCTGTGTCAGCAAGGGACCCAGGAAACCGCTCCCACCACAGGTGTGGCAAGGTACTGCATGTGTTGAACATACATAATGAAGGATTACCCTGGTCTCTGTGCCCCCCTTCAGGCTCAAGGAGACGGAGGAAGGTGCTGTATGCACTTTCTTCATGGCTCTTCTTGCCTCCGCTTCCAACTTGGTTTCTGGTTTTGGATGATCATGCTCTCCCTTTGACTGAAATGAGACAAGGAAGTAGAAAAGAAACGATGTAACACTAACTAGACTGTGCTTCACTCTGTGTCCTGCCCCCGGAGTGGTGTTGCAGTCTCCTATGGTAACAAGACTGGATGAACCTCTGAAGACACTCCCAAGCCCACCATGCTCCTGCTTGCCTGCCTCTCACCCACCCAGCAAAGCTATAATCACAGTGCTAAGTAACACTTATTAAATGCTTCCTGTGGTATATGCCGGACACTAATAAACACCCTGTGCGCCCTATATCTCATTTCGTCTTCAGCACAACCCTTGAGGTACATACTATTATTATCACCCCCAGTTTACAGAACAGGAAACTGAGGCATGGAGTGATTATGCCAGCTGGGTAACCTCCTCTAGAAGTGAGGGAGATAGGATTCCCCTACCTGGAGCTGGCCAAAGTTAAACATTCAGGAATTTTCTAGGCTGATTGTTAAAAATGACTGCAGGCTTGAAATCAGCCACCGTGGGAATATTTCCATTGCCGAAGCTGGCAAATGCTACAAATCAGGACATTTTCTTTTTGGAGAGCTGGTTTACCAGCATCCCACTAATTCAAACCCAGGCAGTCTGAGTCAGGGTCCATTCTTCACCCCTGTTGGTGCCACTGCCCCATTAGTACTCTTACACATTCTACAGAAAACCGGGACGTGGAAGAGGAAAGACACCTGCTCGGGTTTACAGAGCAAGTAAAAAGTCAGAGCTGGTGTTCGAACTCAGATTTGCTGAAGGCTACCAGTGGCATGTGGCATGCTTAGAAGCACTGTGCTAACCTCAGTGTGACTAGATTAGCTGCCACTTCTCCTGAGGAGTGGAAGCAGAGACAGCCAGCTCCCCTTCTAGAGCTCCCCAGCACTTCAAACATCTATTAGAAGTGCAGGGGACAGACAAGCTTGCTCTCTCAGTGTGAGCCCTCGGGGATGGTGCAGGATCTCATTCACCAGTGTATCTCTAGCCTCTGGTGAAACTCCTCAGTAACGAAACTCTCACGTAACTAACTCAAAAATCCAACCTGGAAAAATATAAAGCGTCCGTCGTGCCTCCAGAAGTTGGTGACCGGGAAGCCCCCATGACCTCGGCAAGGGATGAGCTTCAGAGGCCCGTCACAGTTGGGACAGCGTTTCCCTACAAAAGAGCAGAGGAAAATGACTACACCTGGCAGAACCATGTCGGTTGACTCCTGGGCAGCCTTGAAGATTTTAGCCCTGACTGCAGGATGGCAGAGGATAAATCTGGGCACAGTCTCATGAGCTCCCATCCACTAGATATTACCCCTGACCCTCAGAAGCCTGGCCACCAAAATGGCCCAGATGGGTCTCACATATGCATAGGGGAAGTGGTTGCCTACCAAGTAGGATATTTCACAGGTCAGGGAGGAGCTCTTCTGAGCAGAAAATCCCTCCCTACTTATTTAGTGATATTTGAAATTTTGACTAGGCACGGTGGCTCACACTCGTAACCCCAGCACTTCGGGAGGCCAAGGCAGGAGGATCCACTTGAGGCCAGAAGCTCGAGACTAGCCTGGCCAATATGGTGAAATCCCGTCTCTACTAAAAATACAAAAATTAGCCGGCCGTGGTGGTGCACAACTGTAGTCCCAGCTACTCGGGAGGCTGAGGCAGGAGAATTGCTTGAACCTGGGAGGTGGAGGTGGCAGTGAGCTGAGATCGCGCCACTGCACTCCAGCCTGGGTGACAGAGCGAGACTCTGTCTCAAAAAATAAAAAAGAGAAGTTCTTTCAACTCACAATTAGAACTAAGGGTCAAGGGGCCAAGCTACATGGGAGAGTGAGTGCAGCTACTACATTTTCACTGAGGTGTAAATGACTGATGCCAGGTCCTGATCTAAGAGCAAGTTTGGAAGACAAACTACTGGGAAAAATATAAGGTAACTTGAGGTTTGAAGTGGGCGAGGTGCAGGGCATGCTGAATGTATCTATTTCATAATCCAGTGAACGTGTCTAAGAAAATGAACAAATATCTCAGCACGTGATTATGATGTGAACCTAAATGAATGGAATTGAGTCTAACCTTTCACAGCTGCCATTCCACATTAATGCACACATTGAGATCACTTAGGGACCCACAAGAGGTCCAGTGGCAAGTCCAATAAACTACTTTCTTCTAAATTTTACATGGGTCATTGATGAATTAACAAAACCCTTCAGTGATACATTTTTCCTTTTATTTTTGGATGGAGTCTGTCACCCAGGCTGGAGTGCAAGTGGTACAACCTTGGCTCTCTGCAACCTCTGCCTTCTGGGTTCGAGCGATTCTCCTGCCTCAGCCTCCCGAGTAGCTGGGATTACAGGTACACACCACCACACCCGGCAAATTTGTGTGTGTGTGTGTTTAGTAGAGATGGGGTTCTGCCTTGTTGGCCAGGCTGGTCTCGAACTCCTGACCTCAGGTGATCTGCCTACCTCGGCCTCCCAAAGTGCTAGGATTGTAGGCATGAGCCACGGTGCCCGGCCATTTTTCCTTTTTTTTTGGAGACAGGATCTCACTCTGTTGCTCGGCCTGGAGTGCAATGGCTCCATTATGGTTCACTGCAGCCTTGACTTTCCAGGCTCAAGCAATCCTTATGCTTCAGCCTCCAGAGTAGCTGTGACCACAGGCATGTGCAACCACACCCGACTAATTTTTAAATTTTTTTGTATGGGTTGGGGTCTCCTTATGTTGCCCCAGCTGGTCTGGAACACCTGGGCTCAATTTATCCTCTCATCTTGGCCTCCCAAAGTGCTGAGATTACAGGTGTGAGCCACCACGCCTGCCATCTACCCTTTAACAGGAGACTTCAGTCCACTGCCTTAACCAAAGGGGGCATTTTTGATGGTGGGTTCTCTGGGTATGGCAGATACGGGGGGTCCTTGCTGGAGTACAAGGGGTCTGGTTGGTTCCCCTCCATATGCTCCATATCAGAACAGCCTTGGCTGCCACTACACTCCAGGGTGAGCGTTGTGCCCTTGGGCGGTGCTGGGACATAGTGACCCATCCGGTAGGGGCACCTGAGGGATGCCAGCTTTTCTGCTGCTGCCACCAAGCTCCACTCACGCTGCTGCTTCTGCCGGGCCTTGTCACAGATGGCAGGTCTCAGGTAGATCTTGCGTCCCTCCTCTGCGAGGCAGTCACGGCCGCACACCACCACACCCAGGCAGGACTTCTTGAGGATGCGGGAGTTGTGGTTGTTGGTGTTGCGCATGGCCCAGCTGCTCAGGTGCCGCTGTGCATTCTTGTCCTCCGAGCTGTAGATGTGTTTGGCGTAGGAATCTGGCCACTCCTGGAACCAGTCAGTCTTTTTCACGTTCTGATAGAAACACAAAAGATACGACTATAGTTTAAGCTAGAAAACACAGCTGTCACCCACTGTGGAGGGAGTAGATGGGAAGGATGTTTTGGCACTCAGGAGCTGGGCAAGAGACTTTTGGCAAAAGCCTCCCTACATTTAATTCTGACAGTGGGATCAGGGAGCCCAGCACAACATGGCAACTGAGTGCTATGTCTGTCAGGCATTCAGCCGCTGGATCAAAATAAATGGTAGCCCCTGTGAGTTCCTTCTGATTGACACTTCCCTAGCCCTCAGTGACACAAGTAATGACCATTTCTCAGTACGAATTTTTGAAGGTTAAGTAATGCTATGCTCTGACACAATAACAGTGGAAAACAGGGCCCTGTGCGGTGGGGTGTGCCTGTAGTCCTAGCAACTCAGCAGGCTGAGGTGGGAGGATGACTTGAGGTCAGGCGTTCAAGACCAGCGTGGGCAATGTAGCAAGACCCCTTCTCTAAAAACTCAAAATAAACTGTGGAAAACATTGTGGTGGGATAGTGAGATAATGTCTCGTACCACGCTGTGGTTACCTTGCTGGGAGTCACACAGGTTTATGCAATATCACCAGAGATAAGCAGTGGGAGGGATGAAAAGCCCTGGTTCAGAGAGATCAAAGAGCCACTTTTCCCCCAGAGATTTTCTTCCTTTATCTTTAACCCTACACTCATGTGCCTCGAACATGATGGGGAGTAAGAAAGAGCTTGTTTTGACTGAAAGCGTCTCTGTTATTGCCCGGGATTGGCGCTATGCCCTGTGTATGAACATTTGACTAAACTCTCCTTTAAAACATCAGAGACAAGGAGAGTTGTCATTCAATGGACAAAGTTTCCATTTGCAAGATGAAAAGGTTCTAGAGCTCCTTTGCACAACAGTGTACATATAATTACCACGACTGTACCATGCACTTAAACATGGTTAAGATGGTAAGTTTTAAGTTGTGTTTTTGACCAAAATAAAATAATAATTTAAGAAAGGCCAGGGACACAGGACACTCAGTCCTTACAGCACACATTATTTTGCTCTCTGTGCCTCTGTTTCTGCATCTGTAATATAGGGATGAGACCTGCCTGCCTGAAGAGTTGTTCTGAAGATTAAATATGATTTTATATATATTAAATACTTAGCACAGCACCTAGCATGCTGTAAGCTTTAAATAATTGTTAGTCACTGATGCTGTGGCTCATATTCCTAGGCCCTACATTGGTGCACAGATGCTGCATTTGACAGACCCTCCCTTGTTCTTAGAATGAGAATCAGCAAGCAGTGTCAGCAGTCAAACTTAGGCTGTGTCCATGCCCTATGGCTTTCAGAGACTTAGCATGGTGTAAGAACATTTTTCATCTAGAAGGTTCTAGAAGGTCAAAATAGAAGATTCTAGAAGGTCCAGAAGCAGAGACTAGGTTGCTTCTTCTTTGCTTTCCCAACCAGAAAGCATAGCCCACAATATAAAAAAAGACAAATTTTAGAAGAAAAAAGTAAAAGTGTCAGGATTGATGGGCATTTATTGAGTTAGAATTCAAATTTAGAACGTGCCAAAGAACTTTGTAACTTGAGACTCTGGGTAAGTAACTTTGTCTTTAAAGCCTGTTTTGCTCTTCTCTAAAACTGGAACATTGATTAAACCTGCCTCACAAAAGTGCTGTGAAGAGCAGATGTGTTGTAAACTATAGATTCCATATAATGATACTTGTTGAATGGAATGTCACAGGGCCTGAGGTGGTCTGAGGAAATATAAATGAGAGGTTTTAGGTACATGCAGGGTAGTACTATTTGGTGGTTAAGAGCTGCAGTGAGCAAACAAGGACCCATAGGCCAAATCCTGCCCATTGCCTGTTTTTGTAAATAAAGTTTTATAGAAACTGATCTATGTTCATTCACTTAAGTGTTGCCTATGGATGTTTTTACACCACCGCAGCAGAGACTCTATGGCCCACAAAGACTGCAGTATTTACTATCTGACCCTTCACAAAGAGTCTGAGATTCCTGGCTGCAAGCTTGGACTCTGGAGGTACACTGTCTTTCTGGGTATGAGTCTTAAGCAAGTTATTTTCTCCTCAGTGCCTGTTTCCAGCTCTGTAAAATGGGGTAACATGGGTCCCCAGAGGGAGGTTTTGAGGGCTTACTGAATTAACATACACGATGCACTTAAAACAGCGCCTCGCATGCAGCAGGTTCCTCCTCAATATTAACTGTTATTTTATCAGATCTGGAACTGCCCTCAGCCAGTCAATGCAGTTTTAAGAGTCACTGGCTTTCGGGAGAGAGAAGACCCAGTAGAGGTCACTTCATGCTTTAAACCTTGCCAAGCCGAATGCAAGATAAGAGTCCAAGTCCCGGCTGGGCACGGTGGCTCATGCTTGTAATCCTAGCACTTTGGGAGGCTGAGATGGGTGGATCACCTGAGGTCAGGAGTTCGAGACCAGCCTGCCCAACATGGTGAAACCCCGTCTCTACTAAAAATACAAAAAATTATCCAGGTGTGGTGGTGGGCGCCGGTAATCCCTGCTTCTTGGGAGTCCAAGGCAGGAGAATCACTTGAATCTGGGAGGTGGAGGTTGCAGCGAGCCAAGATCGTGCCATTGCACTCCAGCTTGGGCAACAAGAGTGAAACTCTGTCTCAATAAAAAATAATAATAATAAAAGAGTCCAAGTCCCTATAAAATAAAAGCTTAATTGGTACACCTCTTGTTCCACAACCTTCCTTCTCACGGCATGACAGTGGCTGGCCCTTTGTGTGCTGTGCTGTAACTACTGCAGTTTGGGAGGGGGAAGGGCATAAATACTAGGAGGGTTACATCTGGAGAAGTTCCCTGTGGTCCTTTAGGTAGTTGCAGCAGAGATTACCAGATGGCCAGGCCAGAATGCTGGTTGGACCATTTGATTTTCCAGACTGTCCCTTCTCCTCCCCAGTTCCCTAGTAATTTTGGGCTTGCTGAGACTCAATGCCCGGGGTCAGAGAAGCTCCCCAGGCAGCATGCCTCCTGCTCTCTCCACCCACCTTATCTTCCCTTCCTTCCTTCCTTTTTCTGACCCAAAGCTGCAAACAATGCTCTCTTGTTTTCTGTCACAGAAATGCCATAGAAAGCATAATAGAGTATCTTACCTTTTGAAATAATAATGTAGGTTAAAACATTAAAATGTGTACTTTTGGCCAGGAATAGTGGCTCACACCTGTAATCCCAGCACTTTGGGAGGCCAAGGCTGGAGAATCTCTTGAGCCCAGGAGTTCAAGACCAGCCTGGGCAACACAGTGAGACCGTCTCCCCTAAAAATAGATTTTTTTTCTGAGTGTACTTTCCTCTAATATTGAACTGTAAAAAACTACTGGTGCACTTGAATTATTCCAACATAAAGCACAGTTGTCAGGATAGCAGAGATGAGGGCAAGGTAGACTTAGAGGAAAGCTGAGATTTTCATGCTTTAAAGGTAAGTGGCCTCTTTAGGTTGGCCAGAGCCATAGACCTCATGAACCAGAAGGAGTGGAATGTATTTGTGAGAACATCTCAGATGTTCTGATTAAAGCAAAGACTCCTTGCTTGTAGAGGAAGAATTGGTCTCTACCATCCTTTAAGCTTTTTTCTGATAGTCCCTCCACTGGTATGTTAGTTTTCCTGTTCTATTAATAATGCAGTAATAGCCAGGTGCAGTGACTCGCCCCTGTAATCCCAGTACTTTGGGAGGCCAAGGTGGGTGGATCACTTGAAGCCAGGAGTTCCAGACCAGACTGGCCAACATGGTGAAACCCCATCTCTATGAAAAATACAAAAATTAGCCAGGCATGGTGGCGCATGCCTGTAATCCCAGCTACTCAGGAGGTTGAGGCAAAAGAATTGCTTGAACCTCGGAGGCAGAGATTGCAGTGAGCCAAGATCATGCCACTGCACTCCAGCCTGGGTGACAGAGTGCTTTTTCTCAAAAAAAAAAAAAAAAAAAAAAGCAGTAATAATTTGGACAATGTACGGACTGAGAACATTACTAGGAGTAAATGTACTCACATCAAGCTAGTCTCTGGGCCATTTATTCATGCCTGGTCTTTGACCTGGACGTTTAGTGGGGTCTTTGATGTCTTTTTACACTGAAATTAAGAGAAAGCCCAGCTCTCAATAATGCAAAGGAACTCAAGTGTCAGATGGATGATTGTGATTTCTGAAACCTGTTAAACCAAGGCCTCAGAGAGGTAAAATTTAATAAGAAACAATAATCATTTCTTCATGTTTAGCAAATCCCCACAAAATACTTTCTTCTTTTTAGATCCTTTGTTTGTTTTAATTTCTAACTTTTCATGAGTAACTCTTTGTTTTTCCTCTTAGTTAAGAAGTTTATAATTGAAAGGAAATATTTATAAGGTTTCCAACAGGTAGACTTAACTAATTTATATTTTATAATCTCCTGGGTAACATCATTGGGGGGTTAACTGATATTTCGATGACTTCTGGGTATAATTTTTTACTAACGGATTTAATCCTCTAACTCAATCAAAATCTTTGTAGCTCTATGCACTCCTAGAACACCCTTCATCCTCACCTCATTCTAATTTATTCAACTACTTGAAGTTTTAAGAGGGTACCTGAAGAAATTAAGTATTGTTATATAAAACTAATAAAGTAAAATACAAATTCTGAAATAAAGTATCAAAAATATCTACGTTATCATACAATCATATTATGAAATTGATTTTCATTTGGAATATGGTCTGCTCTTGTATAAAGCAATTATCTTCCAGATTTTCATTAATTATATAGCTTATTCATTACTTATAAATAAATGTTTCCAAGTAGAATAGGAATAGCAAACAAACATACTTTAAAGCAAATTATATAGAGGTACAAAAATCAGATATTATGGAAAACAGAAAAAAAAACCTTCAACCAACGTTTTGATTTACACACAACTTTTCAAGAACTTATCTCTTCTGGGCCAACTGGAAATAAAACTTGAAGTGTTACCAAGGAAAGAAATTTAATTCAACAAAATGCTTC